CACACACACACACACACACACACACACACACACACACACACACAGGCGAGGTCGGGACGCGGCGCTGGCGATGGAAACCGTCGTCGACCGTCCATCGCCACACGTGCGGACGACTGCGGCCTGCCAATCCGCACTACCGGTCGCCCGAGAACCGACGCGGCCGCCACCGGACGGCAGAATTTTCAAAAACACTGGAAAAAAATTAAAAAAAAACACGGTCGGCCTCCCGCAAGGCCACCAACCACAGGGACCCCGCCCTAATGTGTGTCCGTCCGTCGGCCAACGCCGGAGGCCGGAAACTGAAAAGTGGAAACGAAACCGGTTCCCAAAAAAAAAAAAAATAAGGCCGATGTCGAACAGTCCCGCGGGACAGAGGTTCGGCAAAAACCGGCGCGCAGTGATATTCGGGCTCGTCAAAAACAGGCTTGGAGGTACTGGTGGTTTAAAATTCGATTTATTTTTATTTTGGGGAAACTACGCCGGAGTCAGAAAAACGAGTTATAATTGCAGTATGGGCCAAGATACAGTTTGCAATTGCAGATGGGGCAATGTATACAAACCAGCTTTCTGGCCAGGTAGGGTGCCCGAAGTGCAATTGCAAACAGTATCTTGCCCCATACTGCAATAATGCAATTACAACTCGTTTTTGTGACTCTACTGAAGTTACCCCTTTTATTTTTCATTACCGGTCGGGGACCCCCGTCCGCTGCAGCGTGTTAAAGGCCGCGTGGTGGTATTAACATGCTATTGCAACCCGATATGAGGAATGCACTTCTAAGTATGAGGAATGCAGTGGTATCATAGGCAGTGTCTCATCGCCTGGCCCCCTGGCCAAGGTCTAACATATGCAACGTCAGGGCCACCACAACTTCTGGCCCCTGGCCTGCCAAATCCAGAAGGCTGACCGTCCCCCACTTGAGAAGACCTTTAACAAGCTTACTCTCTGGAACATGACACATGCTGCCCGAATGGCTGCATCCCCGCGTTCCACGCGGTATAACAGTGTGTTCAAAAGAAAAAAAGAAGAAAAAAAAGGAAAAAAAAAAGGAGATGCTGACCGTAGATTACGAGCTAATCCGCGGTCAAAACTGGGACAGGGACTCGAAACCAGGTCCATTCGCTAGACCAGGTTCATAAGCAGGTGAATGGAACTCCGAACCTGGTCCAGCAGCAGTGACACCAGTCTGAATACACCAGTCCGAATTGGGGTCACGGCATCACCAATGCCACCGAGGCCCTTGCTCTACTACTCACCACATGCACAAAAGACAAGGAGTATGGCGGTGTGCATCTTTCCAGTGTTCTGGCGAAAGATTCATTTGCACTCATTTTGCACATTTGGTGTGGTGAGTAGTGGAGTGGAGCCAGGTCCCAAGTCGTGTGGGCCCCCTCGAGTCGAAGTGTAACGCTTAATTTCAGTCATTAAATTATTAATTAAGGCCTGCGGGCCTAGATCAGTCGGTAAGGCGCCGAAGTTGCATTCAGGACGTCGTGGGTTCAATCCCCAACGGTCTCACGTATGTGCCTGGGCAAGCTTGGTGTTCTACCAGCTAGAGATAACCAGTTGCCCCCCCCAAGCCAGCATTGGCAGGACCTTGGCTGATGTTGTTGGCTGCTATGCAGCAACAATATTGGCGATTAGATACCACCATGTGGGGTTGGGATGGGTGTAGGGGGAGCTGCAATGGCCGAGCCATTGCTCAGCGCTAGCACCGCCGATTTCTCCCATCAGCAATGCCNGGGGGAGCTGCAATGGCCGAGCCATTGCTCAGCGCTAGCACCGCCGATTTCTCCCATCAGCAATGCCTGCCCACCCCTCGTCACCGTGATGAGGGACTGGTACAGCCTTGCTCTGGCACCACAGCTGTGGTGCCAACCTTCCCCGTGGGCTGGGGAGAGATCCAGGTTGGTTGGTGTTCCCCCATACTATACATAGACTAGTGAGAGGATGAGATAGATGTGGGTGTTCTGGCACCACAGCTGGGGTGCCAACCCACCCCGTGGGCTGGGAAGAGATCCTGGTTACTTGGTGTTCCCCCTTACTATACATAGACTTGGTAGTGAAAGGATGAGATAGTATCAGCCTTGCTCTGGCACCACAGCTGTGGTGCCAGCCTTCCCCATGGGCTGGGGATATATCCGGGTTGGTTGGTGTTCTCCCATAGTACTATACATAGACTAGTGAGAGGATGAGATAGATGTGTACTACCAAGAAATATGAAAATAGATGAGAGGAGAATATATCTTACCTTTGAAAAAAGTGAAAATAAATGATTAATTATGCTAGGCAACTAGAGAAGTCAAAAAAAGAAAAAAAAGAAAAGAAGTCCGTGGGCGAGGCCCAACTAGCAAGGAGGATTGGATTGAGCACCCGAATCTGGTCGTGGTTGTGGAGAGGTGCAGAAAATCGGTATTGAATTGCTTTTCTGCATCTCTGCGTAAAACATATCCAGGTTCAGGAGCCAATGCTTGCGGAGATTGGGCGAAAAAGGGAAACGAAAACTTGAAAGGTGCGTTTATGGTTTATGGTCTTCTTGCGGAGGTGAAGGAGGAGGCTCACGTTGCGCAGGCGGGCGGGTGAGAAGGGGTGAGGAGGGGTGACGAGAGGAGGAACTGGGTGGCTGGCTGGCTGGCTGGCTGACCAGGGTTGCCGCGCGCTGCTGCGGAGCGCAAGCCCGAGCGGACTGCCGCGCAACCGCGCTTTTGGGCCAACCACGAACTGAGAGAGTGCTGGGCGGATATGGCGCATGCTGGGAACTGTGTGGCACAGGCGCACTTGGCCTCAACGCCTGGCTTGTTCAGCTGCCCCGGCTACGGATCGAGTGAGCGGCATCCCCATCGGGGATGCGACGTCAAGAATGTGAGTTTTACGATGGCATTTGCCTGTTTTCTGTGTGTGTGTGTGCGTGTGTGTGTGTGTGTGT